AGGGAAAGAAAAGGAGAATGAGGATGATGAGATGAAGGGAAGGAAGGGGAAGAGGTGAAGGAGGGTAAGGGAGGGTGGGATTGATGAGACGTAACAGACAGAGAGGAAAGGGTGAGCACAGATTAACTTGGCTGGTAGGGAAATTGGAGGTGTGGTTTTAGGCGTGGTCCTGCTCCCGAACCTACGTTAGCATATTAACTTCATTTAAGCTGAAATTTTATACAGTACAGTATCAGCAAACTATCTTACAAATAAAAAATCCAAGATACCTGCCCACATATATTTGGGGGTGGCACCTGGGGTGGCCAATAAGGTGTCAGAGGAGGCACTTGCCACCCTGGCCACCCATCAGGCTCCGCCCCTGGTTCTCAGTTTGCACCTGAAAACAATTAAAACCCTGAAAAGGCCATTTGTGTTCTGTCAGACTTTGGTCCTGTTTACATCAGAACAATCTCTGAAAACACTTGGATCCATTGTTGTTTCCAGGCGTGCACTGTCACTTTACAATGATTGTAATTTGACTCAAACTGTCATAGACTGTGTACTGAGTGACGGAGTTGTGAGACAAGGTGTGTTGTGTTTGGTGAACATGTGCGAAGAACAGGAAGGTGTAAAAATGTATTTTCTGTTTATCCAGCACCCTAAACCAGGCTGTTTGAACCTGCTGGTCAGTGTTCCCTGTGAAAGGGTTAACAGAAGGACCTAATGTACAGATTCATCTGAAGGCTGCAGCTTGGTGGTCAGGGAAGACATATTAATGCTGACGCTGCAGGTTTGAGCTCAAGTTGTATCAGGAATGATATCCTGGGTAAAACAATCATTTATGTGACTGTTTGCTGTGGTGACCTCTGCAGAAGGCAGCAGCTGAAACAACTTATTTATTCTGATCTGACACTGATTCAGATGAAAACAGTGAAATAATTTTACCTTGAAGCTTTGTAAGTGTGGCACTGTCCTAGTTTGACCTGTAGAGCTGTGATTTGCCATAAATCAAATGAACTTCATGGGTTTTTCTCTGTGAGGTGTATAAATTTAGAACCAGCAGGGCATCGTGTCCTGAAAATGCTCACCAACATTAAAGCAACAAAACGGATGGCCTGAACAATGTTGCTTTGAAACTTTGAACAAGCTGACTTTTTGAAGCTTCACATCCTCCCGTGGTTATTTTTCGACATCGTCTGCCCTGCSTTTTACAGAAAGTCCGTCCTCTGTGATTTGAAGTGGCAAAGTGCAAATGGAAATTCCAGCGCTTGCAAGAACATCTCCCCTTTTCCTGTCAACGCCCCAGAGTTTCCTGCCTGCTGCACCACCACATGTAGGTGTGTTGATTTGGAGTTGGGGGTATGTATTTAATTRTGGGAAAGGGTGTTGGTCACTTGGGGTCATTCCCCAACCAAACACTGATTCTCCACTTCAAGCTTCCTCTGGTTGCTTTATAATTTTCCCTCTTCAGTCCGAAGACCTGTCTGTTCTGGTTATCTGCCTAATGAAAGGCTTCACAGCCGACGTTTCAGGCCTAATTTTTCCACAAGGGTTCCATRTACTTACCCTTTGTGTTTGTGCTGCCCTGTCATAGACATGTCCATTACCTGTGTTAGCTGCACTGGCAGCTAAACGCTCGTTCTAATGAGCACAAGCACACAGAAGGCCTTTATTGAAGGCTGGATAAACTTCCTGTAAAGGTAAATATGTCAGATTATTTTCAGACTGCATCCACAGCATATATGAAGCCCTGTGTCTGTGATGTGTCAGTGTGTCTGTACACCCCTCAGGAGAGGACAAACTGAGCTTCACACACAGCCACAGGACTGAAGCCAAACAATACAGCTCTTCATTCACAGATCAAGTCCAACCTTGTCTTAGAGCAATACAAAACTACAGACTGCCGTTTGTAAAGTTACACAGTCAAAAATTACCACCAAGATTTTTGTTTTATTTAACCTTTTATAAGAACAAAAGAACAGATTTATTTTTCAAAGTCAGTTTTTCACCATATGATTCATACATTTATAAATGTCATAGTTTATAAACTAAATATTTAACTTACAAATTAAATATTTAGTTAAGAAGCTAAATATTTAACTTTCAACTTAAATATTTAGCTT